CCCCCCCCCCCCCGGGGCTCTGCCCTCTCCTCCCTGTCCCAAATTCCCCCCGGAGCCCGGCAGCACCTTGCACTCCCCGTTGACACAGATGTCGTTGGAGTCCTGCCTGCAGGGGGTCCCGTCCACCACCGCCGCCGCCCGCTCCGTGTAGAAGTTGAAACCTTCTGCCAGGCAGTTGAGGGAACAGGCTTTGACACCCCCTGCGAAGGAGACAGAGGTCCAGATGATGCCAAGGAGAGGAAAGAGGTGGAGAGAGAGACCTGGATAACAGTTGCCTCACCCTTGAGCTGCCTGGCCCGCTGCACATAGAATCATAGAATCCTTTAGGTTGGAAGGGACCTCCAAGATCATCAAGTCCAACCATTGAGCCATGAGGGCTCTAAAGTCCTCTGCTAAAACAGATCAGAATCTGTCAGGGTTGGAAGGGACCACAAGGATCCCCCAGTTCCAACCCCTCTGCCATGGGCAGGGACACCTCCCACTAGATCAGGCTGCCCAGAGCCTCCTCCAGCCTGGCCTTAAAGACTCCCAGGGATGGGGCCTCAACCACCTCCCTGGGCAACCCAGCCCAGGGTCTCACCCCTCTCCTGGGGAAGAACTTCTTCCTCATGTCCCAGGAGAACATCCTTGCTGAGCAGAGGGACCCACAGAGGAACCCAGGCACCCTCCTTGTTGATTGCTACCAACTCAAGAGCCTTGAACAGGACACTGACACACGGTGGGACCCTGTCCCTCCTGCACAGCCTGGGGCCCATGGGCTGTACGTGATGGGGAAGGGAACAAAGCAACCTGGGCATATCTAGTGTTGGTCTCTCCTGGCACTTCACAAGGGCTGTCAACACCCTTGTGCCCGTTTTACAGACAGGGAAACTGAGGCAGCAGCTCTTAAGCCACTTGTCTGAGGTTTTTCAGCTCCTAGATCCAAGCAACCAAGTTTTTCAGCTCCTAGACCAGATACTAGGCCAGGGTAACCATTTCTTTCTGTTCAAAGCTGGTGGATACCAAGTCACTGACAGCAAAGATGATGACAGAAATGTGAGGACAAAGGGGGAAGATGCTCAAGCTATAGCTAAAATACCTGCACCTCAACACTCCTTGCCAAAGCACCATCTAGGAAACAGCCTGGCTAGCTGGATATTGGCTGGATATTATTGGATAATTGGATGTTATGGTGTGTGGGAGGAGGACAGGGGACCAGTTATGGGAGGAAACATCTGAGCAGAGCAGATTCCTGCCTCCTGTCATTGGATTTGATCAAATGCTGGTGCAGATTGTGGCCTTTTCTTCCTTCAGTGGGCATCCAAAGGAGACCTGGCAGCCTGCACCCCCCGGGCAGAGCGAGACATGCCCAAGCTGGGGCTGTTTGCTCCTGCAGGCACCAGCAACAGTCACGAGCCGTGGGCCAGAGCTGGGAAGCACCTAGGTCAGGAGGAACCAAAAGCTGCAGAACCTGCAGCTCAAACCAGCAGAACCTGCAGCTCAAACCAGCACTTCAGACGGGCAGCTGGAGGGGAAGGGACCCAGCTGTGCCTGGGAGCACCCCAACACAGCTCGGGGTGGGAGGAAGAGCCAAGCTGGGAGAGGGAGGAATGGCAGGAGACATGAGAGGGGAATTCAGCAGCTTGGAGGCATGTGGTTGAGCAGGATGCCTGGACAAGCCCCTAGAGAAGTTGTTTGATCAACCCATCTTAAGGAGATCAACCCCCTCTGCAGCACCCCAGGCTCTCCCAGCCTGGTGAGGGAGCTCCAGGGCCACCGAGGGGGACAGCACAGGACCCAAGAACCCAATGTCATCTAAGCGTGGCATGCCTGGACCCCAGGGCTGTCCAGCCAGGCCTCAGGGGCAAAATGTCACCAGGAGGATAAGAAAACATGAGCCACGAGGACCTAGGTGGGGTGCAGGTTCTCCCAGCTTGGAGAGGCCGTGCCACTGAGCCCCACCAGCAGCCACACACCCAGCACAGGCAACAGTCCCAGCAGCCTGGGAGAGGGGCTTGTGCTGGCCCTTCCTGAGCCCCAGCTGTGATGTAAGCAGTGCTTGCTGCTGGTGGAGCAGCTCTCCAGCCCGTGGCCTTGTTCCTGGCAGCACAGTGGTGTTGGCTGGGTGGGACCCTTCACCCCGTGCAGCTCTCTCCTGCCATCACTGGAGTGCAGAGCAGACCAGGCAGTGAAGCAGAGCTGAGAAACAGCCAGAAGCTTGGCATCCTGCTTTTCTGGGCTCTCAGACCACACAGTCGTAGAATCACTGTGGTTGGAAGAGACCTTTCAGATCCTGGAGTCCAACCACCCCCCAGCACTGCCAGGTCCCCACTGCCCCGTGTCCCTCACCCCACATCTCCACGGCTTGGAAACCCCTCCAGGGGTGGGGACTCCACCACTGCCCTGGGCAGCCTGGCACAGCCCTGGGCAACCCTCCAGGGCAAGAAATTGTTCCTCAGGGACAACCTCAACCTCCCCTGGGGCAACTTGAGGCTGTTTCCTCTTGTCCTGTCCCTTGTCCCTTGGGAGCAGAGCCCGACCCCCCCCAGCTCCAGGCTCCTGTCAGGAGCTGTGCAGAGCCAGAAGGTCTCCCCTGAGCCTCCTTTGCTTCAGGCTCAGCACCCCCAGCTCCCTCAGCTGCTCCTCCCCACACTTGGGCTCTAGACCCTTCCCCAGCAGCTCCGTTGCCCTTCTCTGGCCACGCTCCAGCCCCTCAAGGTCCTTCTTGGAGTGAGTGGCCTAGAAAACAAACCCCGGATTTGAGCTGTGGTTTCCCCAGTGCCAAGTCCAGGGGTGCAGATCCCACTTCCACAGAATGAGCAGAACCCCCTCAGCCTGCCCACTGCCTAGTGACTACTGCCTGGGAAACGAGCAGCAGACAGGACCACACAACCCTGAGGAGCCCAGGGTCTGTCACAGCTCCTGGCTCCCAGAGACACGAACCTCCTGGCCACGCCTGAGCCCACAGAGAGCTGCCCACCCTGTGCTGTGGGGCTGAGGCCAGCACCAGCCAGGTCTGCCACGGGATCTCCTTTTAATCTTTCATTAAAAGAAAACAGGCACCTCCAGCTGGTGCCTCGGAGGATCATAGAATCATAGGATGTCTGGGCTGGAAGGGAACCCCAGAGCTCATCTAGTCCAACCCCCACCATCAGCAGGGACATCTCCAACTAGATCAAGCTGCTCAGAGCCTCATCCAGCCTGACCTTGAATGTCTCCAGGGATGGGGCCTCCACCACCTCTCTGGGCAACCTATTCCAGGGATCTGTCACCCTCATACTGAAGAACTTTTTCCTAACATCTAACCTCAATCTGCCCTTTTCTAGCTCAAAGCCATCACCCCTCATCCTGTCACTCCAAACCCTTTTGTCCCTCCCCTGCTTTCCTGTAGCCCCTCTCAGGTACTGGAAGTTGTTTTAAGGTCCCCCCAGAGCCTCCACTTCCCCAGGCTGAATGTTTTGTTGGGAAGTTTTGTTCCTCCTGCCTGCCCTGGCCCATGGAGGAGTTAAATCACATTCTAATTTACGAGGAGCAACCTCCTGCTCTCTGCAAGCCCCCTCTCCCCCCGGCCCCCTCCCTGCCCTGCTCTCCCTCGGCTCTCACACCCGCCAGGAGCAGAATGAAGAACTCAGCGAGGGGAGCAGAATAAACAAACAAGGAAAGCTGCATTCCAGGAGCCATCTGCTGACTGCTGAGCTCGGCCCTTCTCGGGGCTGCATCTGCTGCTCCAGGGCTGCTGGAAATCACCTTGTACTGGCCCCCAGCAGAACCTGAACTCAGCTCCCCAGTGACCCAGGATTTCAGCAGGTGGCTCCTTCCCTTCCCAAATTCCTGGTGGGATCGTTGGCCTGCCCCATCCGAGGCAGCGAGGTGCTCATTGGCTTCAGGACTGGGGGGCTCCAGGGACTGATGGGTGGATGACACGAGCACCCCTGCTCCTTTTGTAAGGCCTGAGGGTGCAGTGCTGAAGGCCACGGCTGAGCTGAGCAGGGGAAGAGGCTCAGCAGAAGGTCAGGGTGGTGATGGGCTCCCACACCAGGGACATGTGCCCAAAATCAGTGTGAAGAGCAGATATCATAGAATCATAGGATGTCTGGGCTGGAAGGGACCTCCAAAGCTCATCTAGTCCAACCCCCCACCATAAGCAGGGACATCTCCAACTAGATCAAGCTGCTCAGAGCCTCATCCAGCCTGACCTTGAATGTCCCCAGGGATGGGGCCTCCACCATCTCCCTGGGCAACCTGTTCCAGTGATCTGTCACCCTCATATTGAAGAACTCTTTCCTAATGTCTAACCTAAATCTGCCCTTTTCTAGCTCAAAGCCATCACCCCTCATCCTGTCCCTCCAAACCCTTGTGAATAGTCCCTCCCTGCTTTCTTGTAGGCCCCTCTCAGGCACTGGAAGGTGCCACCAGCTGAAGGGCAGAATGCCCAGGGACGAGGCTGCCAATAAAGATGGGTGCTGGGGGGCTGCCTGTGCCAGTGGGACTGACACCCACCACCCCAGAGCTCTCTGGGCACTGCTGGAAGAGCCCAGGAGGGAGATGATGGCCAGTCCTCTTAGCTGGGCCAGGGATGCCTGAGGGCACAGGGGCTGCAGGGGAAACCATGGCTCCCAAGGGCAAAACACCCCCAGCAACTGGAAGACAAGAGGGGGCTGTTTCCAGGGGGTCTGATCTACAACACAGAGAGGGTGGAGGTGCAAGAGATGCTCCTCACCTCCACCTTAGATGTGCCTCTGACACCCAAATGACACCAGGTATCACAGAACCCTGCAGTCAAGTGAAGGTGCAAGTGCTTGTGCTGCTGAAGTCACAGCACCACAGAGGAGCCTGGGTTGGAAGGGACCTTCAAAGACCATCTAGTTCCACCCCACCTGCCATGGACAGGGACACCTTCCTTTAGGTCAGGTTGCTCAAAGACTCATCCAACCTGGTGTTGAACACTTCCAGGGATGTGGAACCCACAACTCCTCTGGACAATCTGTTCCAGTGTCTCTCTACTCTCACCAGACACCGTTTCTCCTTTACACCTATCCCATTAAGACCATTTCTCCTTGTCTTGTCACTACAGGCCTTGGTAAAAAGTCTCTCTCCATCTTCCTTATAAACCTCCTCTCTGTATTGAGTGGCTGCAATCAGGTCTCAGCCCTGACAGAGTGCCCAGACTCGGGTGAAGAAGTTCCTTGGTGGACCAGTGATGGTGTCACCACCTCCATGGGCCCAGCTGATCCCAGGTCAGCATGGACAGCCCAGGCCACACAGAGCTGATCCTGCTGATCCCAGCTGGCAGCTCCCTGGTGGGCAGGACTCCCAGCTCTCAGGGAAGCATGTGATGAGCTGGGTGCTCTTCTGGCCAGGGGCTTGGCTCCCAGAGCAGGCTGAGGAGCTGCAGCTTCCAGCAGCTCTCTACTCATGGGGATGTACCTTGGGCCACCACGGATGAGACAGGGATAGCCCTTGACATGGAACAAAGATGATGTGACTGCTAAAGAACACTGCCCATGATGGGACCACTGCCCACAGCCAGCCTGGAGAGCTGAGACATGGAACTCCCAGATCCCTCCAAGACACAATTCCCCCAACACTCAGCACAGAGGGGACAGGTTTCATCACCTTGTTTTACTGAAGGTGAAGCTGAAGCAGAGAGAGAGGGGGAGGCTTTTTCTGAAAGTCAAAGCAAAAATCCCCATCAGAGCCAGATGGCAACTTAAGGGCTGATGTTCAACTGGCCAACTGCCCCCCAGACTCAAAGCACTGGGCTGTGCCTGGGGAAGGGAGAGGTCTGAGCCAGGGCAGCTCCAGCCTGCGGGGCTGTCTTGCACCTTGGCACCCGTTGGGGTCTTTGTGTGACTTACTGCTCTGCAATTTTATGCCATTTTTATTGATCCATCCCCTGCAGCCTCAGCACATCTGCTCCAGCTGCCGGGGCCCCGCTGGGAGTTGGGCTTATTTAGACAGCTGCAAAGGATTTCCCCAGTCAAGTTCATTAACTACATGAAGGAGACGTGCTGTTCTTTCTCATTATTAAGAGCTTTCTGCCACAGAGGCCTCCTCCTGCCCCTTCTCCTCCTGCCTCTTCTCCTCCTGCCCCTTCTCCTCTCTAGATGCTTTGGCAGGACACAGGAGGGACACCTTGGGAAGAGGAGAGTGCTGCTTTCTGGAGGATCCACCAGCTCCCATCCCCATGCAGGAGCTGGAAGTGTTACCTGCCTGCATGGGATGGGCTCTCCTGGTTTCTCCCCAGACACCAACATCTCCCTTCTCTTGTCTCTTCCTCTCTGCTCCCCCAGCAGCTAAGGAGACAGACTTGAAGAAAGAAGCTGAACAGCTCTGCTGCTGCTGGAATTGTTTCTGGTGGAGCAATGGAGTAAATGGGCAATTAACAGCAGGGGCAGTGACCAGGATGGGTCATGGGTGGTCATGGGTCAGCACCTGGGGTCCATGGTCATGCAAAGAGGAGGCAGCACACCCCAGGAACACAGAGCAGGCAGCTGGTGGGACCTGGGCTAGCAAAGATGGTGACTACATACCCACCAGATCACTTAGACCACGAGACCTCTCCTAGCAGAGTGGGGGAGAGAAGCCCTGCAGAGCTCCACTCCGGGTCTGCCCGAGCTGAGGGGTGCCCAGCCCAGCCCCAGCACTCACCTCCACGGTAGGTCTTCCAGGTGTAGTACTTCCCTCGGAAGGGGACGTTGTCAAACTCTGCACACTGCAGTTCTCTGAAGTCCTGGGAGCCCGGCGGGCAGTCCTGTGGCCACAGAGCATCAGTCAGCACCTTGCCAGGAGCCTGTCTCCTCTGCTGGGAGGGCAGGAGCTGCTACAGGGCTCCCAGCCAGCACTAACTCCAGCCCTTCCAGGAGATGGACACCGGTCCTGACAACGGGGTGCTGCTGCAGTGAGGCAGGAGCATCCTTCCTGCAAAGCTAGACACTGTTTGAAGAGTTAGGGCACAAGTTTTTGGGCCAGCTGACCTGTCTGCTGATGCAAAGCCCAGGGGAAGCAGTGGAGAACCATCCCTTTTTCTCCCTACCAACCTGTGGATGTTAAAGGTCCCATTTCCCCAGGTCCAAAGCTTCACTGAGCTTCTGTGCAGAACAGTTATTTCCCTGCTCCCCTCAAGGTTTAACCCTTGGCCCCAGGAAGCACTTTGTGAGCCACTTTCACCTACCCAGACCCTCACTTGCAGCGTGTGGGAG